ACGAGGTGACCAGATGCCCAGAAAGTGTTGCTGAGTAGAGAAAACATTTCCAACAAGATCCTCTAAGATCCTTCATTTATTCATTCAACAAATGTTTCTGAAGTCCCAACTACATACTCGGTACTCTGCTAGGTATGGGGGGGGGCGGGGGGGTTCAATAGAGAACACCATTTGAGGCCATGTATAGGCCTGCATGCTCGGAACACCAAGACTGTCTACAAGTTTGTAGCTGAGAAACTACAATCCTGCCGGGGTCAAAACTTCAGGTGGTCATCAATGCAAACCTAGAAACTCAGCTCCTAACTAAGGATTCTCTGCTGTATCCCATGCCTGTGTCCACAAAAAGCTAGTCTTAGCACAGCAGTTCTAAGGGCCTAGCTTGCTCCATACAGGATGAGATCAACACCAGGACCTAATGTCTGTGGTGACTGTCTCTGGCAGTGGACATGCATACATTATTGCATGTAAAAATTATTTAACCCTTCAGGCCTTGGTTTCTTTATTTATCAGTGGGGATCCCATGTACTCGATAGCAGTATTCTCTGGATTCATCAGTTAATAGGTATAGAATAAGCACTATGACCCATAGAAAATGCCATGTGCTTTGGATGTCTTTACTATCATCACCATCACAATTATTAATGGTAATAGGATAGGGCTCCTGAATACGGACTTGCAAGGTGGTTAAAAGCTCCGGTCTAGAGCTGGGCCACCCAGGTTCTAAATCCTCTGAATTTTCCAGCTATGGAACCTAACAGAAGCTCTCTGGGCCTTAATTTTCTCATCTCTAATCACCATGATAACTATAGTCCTTGCCCCATATGGTGAATGAGAATCAACAGAAAATAAGGCATGTAAATTGCTTCACACAAAACCTGGCCATAATAACTATTCAGTAGATAGTAGCTATGATTGCTTTCCCCCTCTTTCTAAATGGGTGCTGTCACTGCAATTGTCCTTTTTGAATCCATTTTTGCATATCATATGTGTATATGAGGGTAAAATCACCATCTAGTCTATAGACAGCAAAATGGCTTGACAAAATCATAACAGAAACTAGAAGAGAAATAAATATCACAGGAAGACTGTGGATTTTGAGGTCAATAGGCTGCATTGCCAAGCGGAACCAGGATGTCACTTCTCCACACATGTGCCTTGGGTTGCTGTCTGCTGGACAGCATGTGAGTGTTCTGTGGTTGTCTGCATGACAGTTAAATTATGTCAGGCTTCAGAACTACGTGAGTGTGGAAGAAGGGGGTGTGTCCCCCGACAAAGGGTAGAATGAACTACAGAACAAACTAGAATGCCCTCGAGTCCTGTGGACTGACACTGTACCACCTTCGGTGTCTACAGAGGGGTGGCCACCATGTTTAAACCACGAGCAACCCCGAAAGCCAACTATGGCAGCCAAACAAGTCTGGAGCAATCAGACTCCGCAAACTCGAACACAAACACTCTTCTATGGATCACATTGGTGTGCCAGGGGTAGTGAGAGTTCCAAGAGGGAGGAAGTCAAATTAATTAACTAATGCATAACTAAAAACATTTATTTTTATATTAATCCAAGCACAGGTATGTTATAAAAAAAGAATGAAAAAAGGAAAGAGACCACATGAAGTTTTCAAACACAACCCAAGATTAGAGGCATGGACTGCCTTCTGAGGTTTCCCTCTAGCCTCAACCCCACATCCTAGGGAAGGTTGTTTGTTGCCAATTTGATTAGGGGACCTTCAAAGGAAAGTTCGAGAAGCCCTGGGGTGGTGGAGGGAGAAGAGATGTAGACATTGGAAGACCTGGATTTAAGCTGGAGGGCTCTGGCACTTATCTCACTATCTTCAGCAAATGGCTTAACTGATCTTGAGCCTCCTCATCTGGAAAATGAGATGATCCTCACAGAATCAACTTCAGACTTGATGAGGGGCTCAAAAGAAATAATACATGCAGAAGTGCTGTACAAATATCACAGAAGATTCTCAAAGAGGCCATCTACAGAAACCGGTTGCCTTAGCACATTTGGGAGCTGCAGTTAGCCTGCTACAGTTGCGAAAGTAGATTCAAAGTTGGTGGCAAGGCAGAAAAAGTAATGGTCCAGTGTGTAAACTTCTGAGTACAAGCTCATTGCACAAGCATCTCGTAAATTACTCCTCAGCAGAAGCTGAAGGTGGGGAGGATCCCTGACAAGAGATAAGAGAAGCAGGAGATGGAAAAATGCAACCCAGTCAGTCCTGTCACTTTTCTGACTATGGTTGATTGAAGATGGAAAATAAGAGCCAGCTAGGAGGAGAGGGAAAAAGAAGGCAAGCGAATCCAGCCGCTTGTGCCTTGCAGCCTGTGGATTACTGTTAAAATTACTGTGTCTGCTCTGAAGGAATCGCTGCTGGAATCTATTGAGGTTCCCGCGAGAGTGTTTCAAGTCCTGCTCCTGTTTTAGGCACCTATAATTCAGAATGCCTTTTCAAAAACACATTCAAGACCTGAACATAAAATGCAGAACAAATGCAATCAAATGACATCATTCTTCTGAGTGACAGCCAGGGGCACGCCGATCCCATGACCCCGTTACACAAGGTTGCAACCTGCTATTGTCCCTTCAGTGACAAAATCAGTGGCACCCGGCACACAACACTGCTTATACTAGCAGGCATCAAACAAATATTTGTTGAATTGAGTATCTTCTCTACCAATTTAATAGGTTAGAAAATTGTCAGCTTTTTCGTCAAAACTACCACCCCTTTTCATTCAAACTCCTCTTGAAATTCAATTCCATTAAGGCTTTTCAATGCATACTAGCAACAAGGAATTTACTTAAATGAAAACAAAACAAACAAAAAAACCCCCGCAAAACTCCAAGCTCCCACCTGTGCAGCCATGACATGCTATTGTTTGAACCAGAGTATGTTATTTAACTTGGCTGACAAGCTCAGGGGGTAGAGATCCTGTCTTTCAGAACACACAGCTCTGAGCACACTGGGAGTTCTTGATAAATAGCAGCAGCAAGAAATGCTGTGGAGGGACCCATTTTCATTATTTATTTTTTGCAGATCCAGATTTTTGGCAGCATGTGTTTATCCCTTGCTTGATTTCCAAGGGGCAGCTTTCTTGCAGAAGCTCCCGTGAAGATGGATAAAGAGCTCTGCGACTTCCTCTGCCCCTCCCGATCCCGGCATAAGCAGGAACACCTGACTGAGCCAAAACAAGGATATTGAGTGCATTCAGGAGACTGGCTGGGTTTGGAAGGGAATTGAATCTTCCAGGACCCAATAGGTAGAGAGACGCAGTCAAGAGAAATGTTTTGGCTCCACACATCGACACAGCTGTCAGATGGCAAAGCTTGGACTTCCACTCTTATTACCTGCTGCGGGCCTCTGAGCTGGCTTGTCATTAACCCCAGAGACCAAGTGTGCCTAAAGCTTGACACAAAGTAATATTTTGGAGGTACTTTCAAGTCTTTCAACAGAGAAGCAGGAAACGATGATTTTACCAAACTTAAACCATCAGATTATAAAGATCTAATAAAAACAGGAATCAAATGTGAAATTCTACGTGTACAGCAACAGCAAGTCATTTAGGAGACAAATATGTGTTTTTACATATTTTTAAAAATTATACCAGTAACAAAATGAAGGTGTTATGTGCGTGTCCCAGCACACAGCTTGACAGGCAAAGAGGAAGCAGCAAGTGACCATTCTAAGAAGCCTTGCAAAAGACCTGGTTTTTTTCTCCCTGGCTGATAGGACTAATATTTGGTAAGATGTGCTTTGCAGAGCAAGAAAGGGGTGGGGGAAGCTGCCTTTCTGTACACATGTTAATATACCTGGGAGCCAACCTGCCCCTGTACCAACACATTTTCTAAGTGGTGACTTCTCCCCTTCCTCTCCGACTCATTTTGTACCAAAACAATGGCAACACCTGTAGCGGTGAATTTCTGCGCTTTGATTTTTGCCCGGTTATAAAGGAGGCTCCCAGCAGGCTCCCCTCTCCGGAGCCATATGTGGAGTTGGCGTGCCAGCCGCCGTGGAAGGGAAACGGCCTCCGGAGAAGTGACAATGGGTCCATAATCCCCATCCACTGGACGCTCTTGAACTGCCTCTTTATTTCCAGTCAAAGAATGCCAGTCTCAAGATGAAAGCTGTGGCTGCCCTGGGAGCCCAGGGGAAACCTGTGTCGCTTGCCTGGTTCAGCCCAAGGGTGGTGACTCTGAGTCCCGCCATCTAGTCCCGCAATCTGGAGCCCAAAAACTGCCTGTAGCACCCCCAACACTTTCCCTTGCGCTCCCCTCTAGGGTGAGGCTTTTACCACAAGGACATCTGCCGCCTAGCCTCTCCCAGCGGCTGGCGACCACAGCGCACCCAGAGCAGAGCCACAGCTCCGCCCCCTCGCACCGGGTCACGCCGGGGGTTCGGTTCCAGCGCGAGCCTCTGTAGCAGGCTGGCGTTTCTCCACGCTGAGCGGGCTAGCAACTCTTCAGACCACAGCACTTGCGTTGCCGGTGGGGGGCGGAGACAGGGGGCCACAAAGGCTGGGGTGTGGCAGCGAGCCCCTTAGGTTCAATGGCTTCTCCGGCGAGGGCACTGTTTGCTAACTGTGTTGACCAAGAGGGTCAGACCCACACGCCTGCTGGGACTGCACAGAAGGGCCCCAGAGAAGTCTGGAGAAGCGAATGGGAAACAGGGGCTGCGCGGGTAGCCTCAGCCCCAAACAAGCGTCCCTGTTTGGACAGGGAAGGATGGCACTGGGATGCAGCAACTAGAGTTTTGAGTTAACTCCTACCCTCCCCGCCCCTGTTTTTACACTCTCCCTTTGGGGACCTCAGGCCTTGCTTCAGGTCTCGGGGACTGTCCGAAAGGAGCCTTCGGACCGCCGCCTGTGGTGTGAACCTGAGACCTGGTAAATGTCAGCCGGATCCACCTCAAGCCCAGCCGCCCGCCCCCAGCTCGCTCTGCCTTGGCGGCGGCTCCCAGCAGCAGCGCTCCTCGCGGCGCCCCGGGGGCAGGACTTACACAGTGACTCTCGGCCGTCTTGAAGTCCCAGCTGACCCTCTTGGCACGCGCCTGGATCTCACTCATCCTGAAGAGGCACAGCGCCGTGGTGGTGGGGGAGCGCCGCTCTTGGCCCTCTCCGGCGGCTGCGCTGAACACTCCCGCCCAGACGTCCAGGGCCTCCACTAGGCTGGAGGAGAGGAGCAGGCGGCGGCCGTCGGGGTGGCCGTGGCCGCAGTCGAGGGACGCCTGGCCCTGGAACAGCACCTCGGTGCTCTGCGCGATGCGCGCCATGCTGGGCCAGCCCGTGGCAGCGCCGCTCGTGTAGTTGTAGGGGTAGTAGGGGAAGTAGATGCTGCCGTTCCAGAGAAAGGCGTCCACGAAGTGCAGGCTGCCCGCGCCCTCGCACAGCTTGAGGCGGCCCAGCTCCTGCGTGGCCAGGCTGCGCCCCTCCGTGTCCTTGAGCGCGATGGCCGTGTCGTGGTCGGATGCCGCGGGGTTGCAGCGGCTCGCCGTCTCCGGCTCCGGCAGCACGTAGGTGGCGGCCACCGCCAGGTACCAGTGGTTGTGGCCCGCGCGGTACACCACGCCGGCCGTCGAGCCCTGCGGGTGGCACGACACCACCTCGGTGCCGTTGCGCAGGGAGCTGCGGCTCAGGTTGCCTAGGGGCCGCACCTCGCAGGCGCCCCGGTCGAAGGTCCAGCCGGTGAGCAGCAGCCCCCCGAGGCCGGCCGCCCCCTCGCGGTAGGGCAGCAGCAGCTTGCTGAAGCTGCTCCCGGGCCGGGGCCGCGCGGGGGGCGCCAGCGAGACCGGCTCCGTGCAGTTGCCCGCTTGGTCCCGGTACAAGCGCGAGAGACTGCGCTCCAGGCTGTAGTCCAGCTGGTCCAGGCAGCTGCCGCTCGCCACGAACACGCCGTCCTCCCGGCTCGCCGCGATGGCTCCGATGGCTTGCTCCGACCGCCACACGGGCTCGTCCGCGCCCCGGCCGGGAGCCGCCAGTGCCAGCAGATAGGCGAGCAGGGGCAGCGGCGCCGCGGGGCGCGGGGGGCGCGGCGGCGCCTTCCTCCGGGAGACCTCCATGGGGCTGGGGGGGCCGCCCCCGGGCAGGGCGCGCGGCGGCGACGGCGGCTCAGGCGCGCGGCAACGGAGACGCGGGCGGCGGCGGCGGCGGTTCCTGCGCGCGCTCGGGCTCCCGCGGCCGCCCCATCCCCGCGGCTCGCCCGGGAAGGAGAGCGGGGAGGGCGGCGCGCGGCGGGCTCGCTCCGGCAGCCTGTGCGGCGGCGGCGGCGGCGGCGGCAAGCCCTGCGCGCTCCGGCACCGCTTCCTTCTCGCCCTCCTTCGCCGGAGAGTTCCTGTGTGCAGCGCTGGCGCTCGCGGGGAGGCGCGGAGGGGAAGGGAGGGGACGGGTGGAGAGGAGCGAGGCGGGCGGGGAGGGCTGGAGAGGTTGGGTGCGCTTGTGCGTTTCACTTTCCCATTGTGAAAGTGGGATGCAACTGGCCCCCTTCCTCATCCTCTTCCTCCTCCGCCCTCCGCCTCCTGCCCGCCAGCCCGCCCTCCCTCCACGCCCATCTCCCCTCCCCTCTTGATTCGGTGAGATTGGGAGGAGGGAGGTCTCGTAATTTGGGTTACTGTGTAGGTGGCCTCTTTCATCTATTCATAACAAAGCTCAGCCGCCCGCCGCGACCGCCACCATCGCCCCCTTGGCTCGCCCTGGGCTCCCGGGGCGCGCTAACGGCGCACTGAGCGGGCTCCCGCGCTCGTCAGCCCGCGGGGCTGCTCCAACGCCCGGTTTTGTTTACGACAGCAGCCGGGTCGGGGATACGACAGGCGCGCGGAGCGAGGATCCAGGGTGCTAAGGGGTTGCAGCGGAGGCCCGGGGCTCGGGCCACAGGGCTGCTGCGAGGGCGGCTGACAGGTGTGGAGCGGCGAGAGGGAGGCCCCGGGAAGGCGCGCGGGAGACGTGGCCGAGCCGGAGACTCCGGGGACCAAGACGCCCCTGTGGCAGGGAGTGGGTTTCCCCGGGTCAGAGGAGTGAGGTGGCAGAAAGGCAGGCGCCACACGCTCGTTCTGGACAATCCGCGGGGCCAGAGCGCCCATATTTGCAAAGGTTCTCTGATCTCCCTTGGCAACAGAGTCCCAGGCTCTCGAGCCTAGCTCTTGGAAAGTTCTGCTCACCATCTAACCTAATGAGCGGGGCTAACATTTACTGAGCACTTACTACGTGCCGGATGCACTTGTAAATTCACCGCATGGGTTAAGACTCATAATTCTCATAAAAGCTCTATTAATTAGTGACTGTTATTGTCATCCCTGCTTAGTAGTCCAGGAGAATGATAATGGAAAGGCTATGGAACGGGCTGGCATTCTACTGCTGGTAGGTGTCAGAGCCGAGATTCGAATCCATATCTAGCCCCAGGGCCTCTTACATACCTGGCTCTAGTTAAGTGCCACCTGTGGCCGCTACCATAATCCCCCAGAGATCTTTCTCTGCAGTGAGACTGAGAAGTTCCCCAAGTTAAACGCTCCAACCAGCCCCCCTGACCTGCCTTCTACTCTGAGACCCAAGTGCCCTCATTTCCTTCAAGGCTCTGCATCTGTCTCATCATTACCCACGTTTATCCTTTAGACCCCCTGAGGTCTCACCACCTCACCCAGAGGGTGAATAACAGCTGGGTTGCCCCCATAGCCACCAAGAATTTCTGAAGCACAGGGACACATTGCCCACTGGGGAATAGGTTCATGATTTCTCGGAATGGGGCTTCCCAGAGGATGCACAAATACCTCCCAGGTTCCTGGGGCAACTGGTGGCACCATCAGCACCCTCCTTAGAGTCTGGCAGGCAAGCCAGGGGTGCAAGGGAGTGCTGAGGACCTCTATGGATCCTTGGGAAATGATCTCTGTTCCTTCCCAGGCTACTTCCAGGCCCAGAGGCCCCAGGGAGGGCAGTGGGGTGCTATCCCCTTTCTTCCTTCCCTCCAAGTTCCCCAGCTCTAGGTGCAATCTGTTTTGGGAAGCGAAAGGAATAAGGTGGCTTCCGTCCGATGCTGAGTGCTGCTGAAGGTTGCAGGTTTCAGACTTCTCCAACAGTGCGTCAAGTTCTCCCCAGTGCTGAGGAATATGGCAGGGGCTCTGGAAGGCTTAAGGAAAGGAGGGCGAGGTGGAGGGAGAAGCACAAGAGAAGTGTGAGTTTCTGCTCTAGACGTGAAGGGCAAGGATCCATCATTTCAGCAGTGGCTCTCATACGCTAAAGTCAGAGTGGTCATCTTTCCATTCATCAGCCTTTCATTTGCAACTGGATAACATTATCTTTGCCTGCCAGGAGGTAGAAAATGCCTTCCCACGAGATACGAGGTTGCCCTTCGTGCTGTGATGATGGTGTTGGAGTGTCCACGAGGAGAGGGGAGGAAGAAGGGGAAAGGCCTGAAGTACCCAGCTGTTGTGAATCAGGACATCTCAGGCAAGACAAGTCAGATGTTTCACCCCCTCCAAAATATCAGGCGTCCCCTACTCCCTACCCTCCTGGAATGCTTTCAGAATTTTGGCACCGCTGGAATTGGGAAAAGCAATATTTTAAAAACCTCATTTGAAGCTCAGAGACCCCCTCCACAGCATAGTAGGGGATTTTTATGCACTGGTGTTTTGACAGTTTTCCCTGTAACTGATGCAGAACTCAGTGACCTTCACTGGCTCCGTGAACTGGTGGTGGCAGTGTCGTTATGTGCTGAGAAGCAATAGTTCAGTTCCATTCCAGAGATAGTTTTACTTCACTGGTAACCAAGTCATTCCTCTAAGTCCAGTAGATTTGGTACAATCAGTCACAGACCATCTTGGGAGCTATTTGGATTAAACATACTCTGTGGTGTGGCATTTTGATCACTACCCAATTCATTGCCGCTTCGTTTTGAAAAAGAAACAACATCTTAAAAATACTACCCACAAGAAGTATAAATGGCTTTGATGGCCACAGTTCCCTGCCATTCTACTGGGACCATAAGCCCCACTCTTAAGAGTGGGCTTCTTTTTCTCCCATTTAATTGTATGCAGACTCCTACGGTGAAAGAAATCAGAATCTGTGCTAACTTTTTGGCATGAAAAACGTAGGCAACAAGGATGCATATAAATGCATTCTTTGCTGATTCTACCCCCATTTTGTACAAACATGTTTGCCCCTTCCCAGCTTTCTTGTGTACTAAAGCTCCACCTTCAGGACACAAGTTCACATTTGAAAAGTGTGGGAAATACGAACAACTGAAATAAATATTTAGGCATGTGAGTTCTGTATCTCTTTGATCACTTTCTCTTGGACACCGCCGTCTAGCCCAGGGGTACAAGTCCCCTTGGTGACAAAGCTTCCCTCTCCAACTGGCCAAGCCCATCTTGTTGGGTGTCACTTATAGCACATTTCGGAACTCCTTGTAACACAACTGGCTGAAACCCAAAAAAGAAGATGGTGCAGATTTATCCTCCAGACAGAGGCCTGCTACCACGGAAACAGGCAGTTCAGACTGATTCCGAGCAGTTTTATTTGCAGCGTTCACTAGATGGGAAAGTCTTCATAATGAGAAAATATCAACTCCCTCAGGCACTGAAGGCAATCTGGGTTAACCAGGCCATCCACAATCAGACTCACTTCTGGTGGACAGGACTTTATAGATTCAGTGGTTTCCTGCTGGGGCCCAGGACATTAAGGACTGTTCAGTAGGCAATTGGTCACAGTCACAAGATGGCTATCACTTTTTTTTGTTTCTGATTTTCTTTCTTTTTTTTTTTTAATCTGACAGTGGTCTGTAGCATGACTTGGCTGGCAGAGATTGAACGCAACTGAGAATATTCGTTCTGGTGGTCCGTGAATTCTCTCTATGCCTCACACAGCTACAACCCCCTATGCAGAATTTGAGAAATACCATTCCAGTGGGTGGAATAGTATCTGTATTGTCCTCTTAGGATTTAAGGCCACTTCTTCCTCCACAGCTTTGCTGATATCTGTCTGGTCTTCCACATGGAGGCCCTTATCAAATCTCCCAGGCCCTTTTGGTGGCTGACAGGAAAAAGAAATGAGCCAGCCTCCTTTCTAGACTGCTGATGAGTAGACGTTTGAAAGAAGATTCGAGGAAGAGCTGTTTAGTAAGTTCACATTGGTGCTGAGAGACAAGTTGGACACAGTTCAATCAACATGAAAAGTCTCTCTGGCATGGCACAGTTAAGACATGGCTAAAGGAACTCCATGCTTCATCCTCTCTGCTCACCCAGTATGGCCCTAGACAATAGCTGAGCATTCTTATGCTTGGCAATAGTGCCCCCCTGCCATGGTTTAAAGTCAGGAAGGCTTGTGGTGGTCCTGCAGTAGGTGTGACTTGGGGTCACTCCCACCTTTACAGCTGTCATCTTATTCCATGTCATGATTTAATAGCTCATGGTCATTCCCCAGCAGAGTGCAAATGCAGATGGGAGAGTGGAGTGAAACGTACAAGAAATGATTCTTTATGCAAAGTCCAATGACTTTCTTTAAGCTAAATAAGACGCTATGCTCTGCTTTAGCGATGGATGAGCTATTGCTTATTGAAAGGACACAAAATGTCAGATATGCTTAAGAGACTACGGAGCCTAGGACATCACCTTAGCATTCCAGCCCTCACTCTCCAGGCAGTGTGTTCAGTGTCATGAAGTTTCGAGGCTTTTTTCCAAAACATGCACCAAAACCATCCGTAGTTAAGAATCTGAGACTATTACTGGTTGAAAGCAAAATATGGTAAATAACCAGCCATCACAGTGTTTTTCTAGACCGGCTGGAGTTCACCCTGTATGAAGTATGCAAACTCATCAGTTAATTACTTCTAAAGATTTTCGGGGAATCTCTGTAACTTGAGCAGTCTCTTGAAAATCAAGCTTTTCTCTGATGTTTACAAGATTCCAGTCTGTCCCTGCTTGTATTGTCCTTGCTGTTCTTCGGAAATAAGGAGCCAAAAGGGCATCAAGAACTAGACACAAAATGCTGATCCCTCTCTAATACAATGTTGTTTCCCATGTCTTTGCCCTCCTATCACAGCTCTGAGACTCGCTGTCAGCATAATCCTAGGCTCTGAGTCCTCTGATAACTGGCAGCTTGGCATAAGCCCATTCTAAGAGAAGAGCTGCCAGAAACCAGGCCTTCATATTAATAATAACTCCAACTCTTGAAATGAATAGCAGAAGATAAGATAAACATGCAGATAACTTCACAGCCACTTGTACTTCCGCTTCCTTGAGATTCTTGTGGGGAGATGCTCTGAGCTGAGAAAAAAGTTGCTGGACTTTGCAGTGAGCCCTCTGATGCTCTCCACCAAGCTGCTGTGCCTTCTCATTCTTATGTCCTTGCCACTCCCTAGAAAATCGTCCCACCAGGGTGGGGAGGAAGCAACCAGTATCAGCTCTGAGCACGGGCTTTTGCTGTCGGGAAGCTGGGTGTGGGGCCCCAGGGTTGGGGCAGCCCCGC